TGTGATGGCACAGTGGGTTAAGACACTACCTCTGATACCAGCATCCCATGTCGGTTAGAGTCCAGGCTGCTCCACTTCCAATCCAACTCCCTGCTAATGAGCCTGGGCAATCAGGAGAAGATGGCCCAAGTACTTAGACTCCCTGTCACCCATTAGGCTTCAGCCTGGCCTAGCCCCAGTCACTGTGGTCAACTGGGGAGTGAACCAGCAGATGGAAGACCTCTCTCTGTCTCTACCTCTCTGAAACTTTGCCTTTCAAATAAATAAATATTCAAAAAGGAAAAAATACCATTTAAAAGTTTTGTACTTTAAATTTCCTCACGTATAAAATGACTACAGTGATAGACATCAAGAACAGTCCTACTCAGGTTCAAATTTTGGGGCTGACGTTGTGGAATGACAGATTAAACCACTGCCCATGGTGCCAAAATCCCATGTGGGTGCCAGTTCCTGTCTGGCTGCTCCGCTCCCCAACAGCCTTGGAAAAACAGCTGAGAACCAACCAAGGGCTTGGTCAGTGCCACCTACGTGGGATACCCAGAAGTTCCTGCCTCCTGGCTTCTGCCTGGCCTGCCCCCGGCTGTTGCAATCTGAAGAGTGTACCAGTAGATGGAAGATCGATCTGTCTCTCCAACTCTAACTTTCAAATAAATAAATTTTTAAAAAATATGAATCTATTACAAGATGACAGAACAATAAGCACTCCTTTAAAAACCAAGTTATTTACAGGTAATTTTAAATACACATGCACTTCAAAAAGTTCATGAAAAACAGAATTACAAGTTTATTTTGGTACAAAATTTTGAAATATATGCAGATCTTTCATTATATGCATGTTCCATGAACTTTCTGAAGATATCTCATATACATGATTTCAAAAAGTTCTGCACTCAAATAAACCTTTTAATTCCATTTTCCACAAGCTTTGTCAAGTCCCCTCATATAAACACGTAACACACTATGTGCCAGATACAGGTGGTGGACTGGTATCAAAACAAGTAAAGCATGTGCAGAAGGTTATTTAAACCGCCAGCGCCGCGGCTCATTTGGCTAATCCTCCACCTGTGGCGTTGGCACCCCGGGTTCTAGTCCTGGTTGGGGCGCCGGATTCTGTCCCGGTTGCTCCTCTTCCAGTCCAGCTCTCTGCTGTGACCCGGGAAGGCAGTGGAGGATGGCCCAAGTGCTTGGGTCCTGCACCCCATGGGAGACCAGGAGGAAGCACCTGGCTCCTGGCTTCAGATAGGCGCAGCACACCAGCCGAAGAGGCCATTTAGGGGGTGAACCAACAGAAAAGAAGACCTTTCTCTCTGTCTCTCTAACTCTGCCTGTCAAACAAAAAAAAGAAAGAAAAAATAAAAAAAGGTTATATAAACAAAATATGAAACAGTTAAGTCTTTTAGCAGTTGGGGGTGGTGGAGGGCAGGAGGGTAAGTCCTTAAATTGTCCTAGGATTGGAAAGTTGTGGGAATGTAGTTCCATTAGGCCATATGGTTTCACCCCCCAAAAAAATGTTATGTAGATAAAGTCACTAGACAATCAGCTTCCAGAAGACAGACATCTTTCTTATCTATGTGGCCCCTGTATCTAGTTCAATTCATAGTAACCACAGTAGGTACCTAATAACTGAAAGTCCATCATTTACTGATTTACTGATAACTAATGCACCCAAACTTTGGTGCCTGAGTCTGAATGTTAGCGCCCTCCCCTCAAATTCCTATGTTGAAAGCCCAACTCCTAAAATGAGGTATTAGTAGGTGAGGATCTCTGGGAGGTTCCACCCTCATGAACAGGATTAGCACCCTCATAAAATAGAAATCCCTCTACCTGTCCACCACCTTGTGAGATTACAGTGAAAAGACTGCTGATTATGAACCAGGAAGCGAGCCCTCATCATATTTAAATTTGCCAGCATCCTGATCTGAGATTTCAGCCTCCAGAATTGTGAGAAATAAATGTGCTGTTTAAAATAATTTAGTTTTTTTCCTGTAAGCCACCCAACCTATGATACTTTATAATAGCAGTCCAAACATATTAAGACATCTGGTTGGCCGGCGCCGCAGCTTACTAGGCTAATCCTCCACCTGCGGCGCTGGCACCCCGGGTTCTAGTCCTGGTTGGGGTGCCGGATTCTGTCCCGGTTGCTCCTCTTCCAGTCCAGCTCTCTGCTGTGACCCAGGAAGGCAGTGGAGGATGGCCCAGGTGCTTGGGCCCTGCACCCGCATGGGAGGCCAGGAAGAAGTATCTGGCTCCTGGCTTCAGATCAGCGCAGCGTGCCAGCCGAAGCGGCCATTTGGGGGGTGAACCAATGGAAGGAAGACCTTTCTCCTCTCTCTCACTGTCTAACTCTGCCTGTCCAAAAAAATCTAATAAAAAAAAAAGACAGCCGGTAACAGACTCTGGTAAAAACGAGGAGTTCTTGCCCTTGAAGAGTAAGCATAAGGTATAGCAAAGATAGTATGATGTAGTTCACCACATGCAAGGGACTTTTGACAATTCAAACTGGATAGGAAGATTTCTAAGGAAATACTTGTTGAGTGCTTATGTATTAGGCATTTTACATCCTTTAATACTCACAAATAGGAGTAAGTTCACCATCCTATTTTACAGATAAAACCGTGGCTCAAGACTAAGGAAACCATGGTATCGCCAGAATGAAAAGCAGGGTCTAAATCCAAAGTTATTTCTATTACACATACCACAATGTCTCGGATTATTATCTTTATACTTGGCCTGAGAAGAAGGCTGTCAAAACCAGCCAAAACTGTTGTCCAGAACCATCACAAAAACATCCAAAACTTTATCAAAGCACTTTACTTGAAAGAACATTCCTGAAAAATTTGTCTTTACTCTTAACAATCAGAATACTAATTTTTAAAATAAATGCATATGCACTTAGTATGTTTCTACATACAGGCCTACAAAAATTACAGATCTTAACAAAAAGTGTACATGATTAGAGAACATAATAATCATTTAAGAAAATACATTTGGAAACATCATTTTCAATGTTTAGTCTGAAAAATTAAGCATGGTTCATAGTTTTAGATCATTCCACTGATTGTAATACTTAGAAAACCAGTAAATTATTACCAAATTTTCTGGAGGGGAAAGGAGAGATTGAAATATAAGTAACTTAAGGTTTAAGAAAAAAAATTGGTAACATGTAACATGTTACACGTTCAAAGATGCTGCAGCACTCAATGAATATTGTTAAATGGACTGGACAAGTGGTATAAAAACAGGTTTTACTCACACCTCTAACAGGTAAGTAAGCACCTTTACAAAGTTATTTAAGTCACACACAAAAAAGTGAAATTTAGGAGAGATAAAATAAAAACAGCTTACAAAAACAAGGAAAAAGAAATCAAAGCACAGTATTTTGTATCTCTGCATAAACTCCTCAGGGAAGGGTGCAATGTCCAGAAGATGGTGTGCATATGACTTAGCACAGTAATGCCTAGTTAAATATTGACAATCAAACTTCACAGTTTACATTCTAATTTTCTATATAAAGATTACAAGTTACTTATTTGTATTATAATCTTGCATTTCTTATTACAAATCCTCACATGTAAAGATTGTAAATTATTTCTAAAAGGTATTACTTGGGTTTTTTTCCTGTTGGTCATACTTACTAGTATTTCTATAAAGGGATTCTGGTCATTTAGAAGATTTATCAGCAGCATCATTAACACTATTCATTTAAAAAGTGATAAGCCACGATATATACATACCAAGACAAATTTCTTTTTGTCTCTCCTACATTGCAAATTTTACATGATTTAGCACATAATGCCTTAAGTAAGGGTACTGCAAGTCAGAGGTGTAAAGAAAACAGGTTCTTATCCTACTTGTACAATTTATTCAGCAAGATACTGGGTCTCTATGTGTCTTCGACATATAACTTCTTAACACCTGTAGTTAACTGTTGTATTTCTCAAAGCCCTTTTCTTCTCCAAAAGCCTCCGGAACCATTTTGCTGGGACCGTCAATAATGTACAGTGGAATGACCCCAAATTATTGGTCGCATCCATGTTCCCTTAGGACTATTAGTTTGCATTTTCAACAGCACACTAGCCACTTAATAAACAGAATCTCACACAGATTTTATGCCGCTTCTATTTTAGCTCGCCCGTAGTAAGTCACAAAAGATTGAGAGGCTAAATTATCTTTCCAGGATTCTACACTTAACCAACCAATGTCCGTGTGAAAATTATTTTAAAGATGCTCCAGACTAAAGCATTTGGCACATTCGATTCTGACTTCACCAAAAAAGCCTCCACACCAACACGAGGAAAGACTCCTTTTCATTTTCTCAAGTGAAAGAGGGAAAAATAAATAAATAAATAAAAGGCCAACTGCTTGCAGGTGTGCACTTGACACAGCGGTCTCTGGCAAACCCAGTAACTCACGGTCAACTTCAGAATCCTGGTGACCAGTAACAAATGAGTAACTGGTGAGCACAAGCCTTCGCTTTGACATACCACCCCATCCATCCGTCCTCCATCCCCATCAACCCACCCCCAAAACCCCAGCCCACCAAGCACACTTCTAAATGTGTCTAAATACGTCTCCCCCAAGCGAGCCAAAACAAACAAACACAAAAAACTCGAAAATGCCGAGAAAAGGTTCACCATTGAAGAAAATGGCCTGCCCTTCCCAGCCTGGGGCCCCGTCTGGCTCAGCGAGCCTCGCTCCAAGGAGGCCCAATTCTCGACGCCCTGCACGTCCCGTCCCGCCTCCGGCCCTCTCGGGCGACAAAACCCTGCCTCCGGCGCTCAGCCAGGACTGACAGTTAAGGCTGCAGCAGCCGCGGCCACCAGGGGCCTTCTCCTGGCACTGGCCCCTCCAGACCACGCGCCCCTAAACACCCGCTCCAGCAGCGGTGGGGGAAGGGGCGCCTACCCTTGCCAGAGCAGGCCCTGAGGATGGCGAGGGGCACAGGCAGCCGAGGGCAGGAAGCGCCGCCCGGCCTTGGCCGCGTCCGCAGCAACACTGACCTGTCGTCGCCCCCGCGTCTGGGCTGCGGCCGCCTCACTGGTCGTCGTCGCCCTCGCCCGCCGCCTCCGCCCGCCACCGCCTCGTTCCCTTTCGCTGCCGCCACCGCCGGGGCTCATGCGGGACCCGCGCTTCCTTCTCCGGAAACCGAGGCCGGGAAAGGGGGCGCCGGGGCCGCTGAAAACCCGGCGTTTGTCGCTGGCCGCCGCTGTCCGTCCACGCTGGGGGGCTGCGGGGCCCTCCAGACAGGGGCTATAGGCCGCGAGCTACTCCGAGGAGGAGCCGAGGGAGGCGCCGCCGCCCGCTGCCGTGAGCGCGGGGTCGACAGAGGTGAAGCGTAGCTCGGCGGCGGATGACGGGCGCCTGGGCCGGCGGATGGCTACGCGGCGGCAGGGTGCGCGAGCGAGCGAAGGCTGGTGTGTCGGGGTCGCGGCGAAGGGGAGAAGGCCCTGTCGTCTCCTGTAGTCACCCCGAACCCAGCGCCACCATCTTGGAAGAAACACGGCTCTCGCGGCCGCGGCGCAAGACGGGAGGACTAGCTGGGCGGGCAAAGTATCCCAGCAGGCAGCGCGCGCTGCCCGGCCGGGCGAGGGCTCCGGGCCCGGACGCGAGGACGTGGGGCGGGGCCAGGGCGCGCGCGGGAGGGCGTCCCGCTCCGCCCCTGCCGCCGGCGCCGGCTCTGCCCTCCTCCCGCTTGCCGTCGCCGCCGGCGCAGGGGTCGCTGGGAAGGAGAGGTGGTCCGCGGCTCTTCGGAGAGTCCCGCTAGGGTCGGTCGCCATCTTGGGACTGGGTGGGAGTAATGCCTCCTGTTGGCTTCTGTTGTATGCAGGCCATCAGAAAGAGAGGTGCACTCTGGAGGCCCCCTCGGAGGGTTCCAGACCCCACTAATCGGCCCAACAGAAGAGCGGGCCTCCGCCCTTGTTGGGAGTCGGATGGGCTCCGGCTGTCAGTCAAGGTGGCATTGATAGCCTGCAGCCCCGAAGCGGACAGAAGCTAACCGTTGCTAAATCTCCGACCCCAGCCCCTTTCACCCGTAGCTGCCCTTGTAAATATTACATCGGCGGCCCCAGAGTGCGGGCCAGTCCTCCGGAGACCAAGGTCATCTGCTTAGGCCTCTTGCCAGCACAGGCTATGTCACTAGTTTACCAGAAACTGGAAGGTAAAAGCCCACCTCCTGCAGTTTTGACTCTCTAGGTTGTGGATGAAGAGAAGTGGCCTCCTGGTTGACCCCAGACAGAACGAGGCTAAGTGTCATCCATGTGACAGCTGAACCCATTTAAAGCTATGTGTCGTCATGTTAAGTAACAAGGTTATTATTTTAAAAGGCGTTTTTTAAATATGTATTAATGGTTTTGCAACACTTGCTAGCAAAACTGTAAGAGAATTACAATGCATAGTCTCAAGGCTTGCAGCTTTGCGGATATCAATGATGGTATACAGCAGTGCATTTTTTAACCGTCATTTTCACAGCATCTTTTTTTCTATAGACAGGGAAATATAATCACTAAAATATATAATAAGCCATGGCAAGTTTTAAGATATTTTAACTCTGATTTTTTTTATTCCCCTCTACATTGGAATACTGGTGTTATATTTTATGGAAGGGAATAGTTAAAATTATAATCTCAAGTGTTTATCTTTGCAAATTATCGAAAAAAAGAAAGTCTATAAAGACTTGATGGAATAATTGAAGCAAAACGTTACTACTAAATCTGGCATGTGAAGATAATTTTAGCTATTCTATTTCCTCTTTAAGTAGAAATTGAATAAATTAAATGTGATTTTCTAATAGCCTGGTGTATAAAAAGATGGCAGAAATCTCTGAGTTCCAAAAAAATCAAAGACAGAAGGGAAGTAAATTTGCTCATAGGTAACAAAATGACTATCACTAAGATCAAGGAGTACCCTAATTCCTCCTGGAACCTGGAGAAATTACACATATCCTTTTTAGTTCATTAACATTAAATATGTATTCTTAAATGTGACACTAATCCATGAACTCACTGAGCTCCTTGCTTTATCCATTTTAAAATTTAGAAAGTTGTTGGTAAGAATTACCAGCATGAATAATATCAGGATTTCTTAGAACACTAGTAGTGTTTACCTCCATGTATATATATCAGTTTGGTGAAATTTCTTTATATCAGACCCTTCAGATACGTTTTCTCAAGAATATAACTTAATATCCACTAAGTGAGTAGTAAATTCTTTATTCTAGTCAAAATAAGACTCCGTAGTTTCTAATAACTTTCTCAATTCTGATACAAAGAAGCAGTTTAATTTTAGAAGCATATGTGTTAATGCTTTGAACTAACTTTGAACTTCAGCTGTTTGCCCAGAACTGTGTCAGGCCTTGGAAAACAATAAAAGAGCAACAGTCTATCCCTGCCCTCAAGAACTCACACTTCAAGAGGAAGTGGAACCTGTAAAGTTGTAGACACTTCATCCAAATAACCTAATATTTAAGTGAGGGTATCTGCTAATATGTATCTATTTAAACTAATAAGCTTTTGTAAATTGAAACATTTTTGGCCTAAATTCTGGTTAGGTTGGCTTTTTGACAGACTGCCCTGTTACTCAAGAATTCCTATTGATAGGAGTCAACAGATGAATTAAATGCAAAAGTTCATTTTTTGTTACCCAGCATGCCCTGGGGCCAGGAATCAGCTGAGAGCTGAGAGAAAACAGATATGATTGGATGGCATTCACTTGCTGTTTTTAGGCTGCGTCAGAGTGTTTCACACTTAACTGTTGAAAGGCACTAAATTTCATGATGTCAGTAAATCCCAGTAGTTAAGAAATAATATTGAAACAAAATTGGCTCCATAGAGAACATTATCTGGTGTGTAAGTGCTCAATAAATGTTAGTATAGTAACAGTAAATGTTGGTGGTAGGAACATAGTATTATCTCTATCATTCTTCAGCATGACACATGTCAGGCATGAATTCCTTCATGCCCTCGCCCTTATTCCTACAATCCTGTCTTCATTTGCATTGCTCCTGACCTGTTGTCTTCAACTATGAATCATCCCTTCCACAACCAGTCTTAGGGCAGAGTAGTCACCTGAAGACTATTCTCTCAGTTGTTCCCTCTGCTGCCTTTGTCCTTTCTGCTAAGTAGAACTATGTACACTTTGCCATTTCCTCCAAGCCCCTCTTCAACTCTGAAAAATTAGCATCTGCCTCCATTTTACTAAATATATTGCTTGGCATAATGGCCAAATCCAAAGGCTGTTTCTCAGTTTTCATAGTAACTGACTTCTCTACAGCCTTCCACACTGCTGACCGCTGCCTCCTGGAAATTGCTCCCTTGGTCATATAGCCTGTGTTCTCTGGCCTCTTCTTCTAGACTCTTGAACAGCAAGTCTCCTATGGAGAATCCTCTTCCTCCCAAACCGTGGTTCTCTTTGCCTATCATATTATATAGTCTGACACTACCGATTCAGTCAGCTCAAGTCTGAGTCTTGAACACAGGTGTCATTCAGAAGCTTGCTTTTTTTTAATCTTTTTTTAATGATTACAGTGGTAAACTTTGTTTTATATATATATATATATTCTCAGATTTTTTTAAGATTTGTTTATTTATTTAAAAGGTAGAATTAGAGGGCTTCCACCCACTGGTTCACTCACTAAATGGCTTCAATGGCCAGAGCTGGGCTGATCAGGAGCCAGGAGCTTCTTCCAGGTCTCTCACATGGGTGCAGCAGCCCAAGCACTTGGGCCATGTTCTGCTGCTTTCTCAGGCACATAAGCAGGGAGCTGTATTGGAAGTGAAGCAACCAGGACTTGAACCGGCACTCATATGGTATGCCGGTGCTGCAGGTGGTGGCTTTCAACCTCTACAATAGGCCCATAGGCCTTACAAGGCCTGCAGGATCATTTGGTCTGGCCCTGCCAAAGTGACTGCAGGAGAAAATTGAAATTCAGTAAATTATAGCAGGCTCGTTTTTTTAAGATTTATTTATTTATTTGAAAGGCAGAATTATGGGTGTTGGGGGGGGACTTCCATCCACTGGTTCACTCCCCATATGGCCACAATGGCCAGAGCTGTGCCAATTGGAAGCCAGGAGCCAGGAGCTTCTTCCAGGTCTTCCATGCAGGTGCGGGAGCCCAAGGACTTGGGCCATCTTGTGCTGCTTTCCCAGGTCATAGCAGAGAGCTGGATTGGAAGTGAAGCAGCCAGGACTTGAACCAGCACCCATATGTTATGTCGGCACTGCAGGCAGCGGATTTACCCACTATGTCACAGCGCCAGCCCCAGCAGGCTCATTTTTAAGTTGATAATTTTGTATGGTCCATGAATGTTATAAATATCCAAATGGCCCTTAGCAGAAAAAAGGTTCCCACCCTTACTAGACAGAGTATCTTCAACCCCTTATTGGATATTTATACTATATGTTCTGCAGACACATCAAACTCAAACTGAGTTTGTTCCATCTTCCAGCATTCACTGAGGTAGAGATATCTGCAGAGGAGCAGATTTTTTAAAAATCAAGTATGAATTTAGTGTTGGCAGTGTTAGATTTGAGATGTTTATTAGATACCTCTAGTAAGGACTCCTTGCTGATTGACCCATGCTATGTCCTCTCCTCTTCTTCCAGGTAGCAGAATATCCAGCCAGACACATGGTTGTGTATAATGAACTCCCAAGTGTGACCATATCACTAAGTTCTGGACAGTGGGATATGAGCAGAAATGATGTGTGCAACTGCCATATCATAGTCCAAAAGAAATGGAATGTTCCTTGTACTTTGCCTTTGTTCTTTTGTGGTGACTGGAATGTGTTTGAAATGATGAACAATGTTGGAGAGTGCTATGGTTTAAATGATGGTTTCTCCTTCAAAATTCATGTGGAAATTGAGTACCCACTGTAGTGGTACTAATAGTTGGGACTTTTGGTGAAAACAGTTAAGTCATGAGGACTCTGCCTTGACAGATAGATTAGTGCCCTTATGAATTAACTGGAGGGAGCTGGCTTGGGTCCTTCTGTGCCTTCTGCTAAAATGAGGAAATGGCATTCTTCTTCTCCAGAGGATGCAGCAACAAGGCACTACTATGGAAGCAGAGCAGAGCCCTCACCAGATGCTGAACCTGCCAGCATCTTGATCTTGGACTTCTCAGCCTGCAGAACTATGAGAAAATATATTGCTGTTGTTTATAAATTACCTAGTCTCCAGGATTTTTGTTTTAGCAGCACATATGAAAATAGAGGGAAGCAGTCTAGGAATTGCAAAGCAACACAGTGGATCCCTGAGGATTTCATGGGGGCAGAGCCGTGTATCAGCTTAAACTTTGTTGTGAGACAGCTACTGACTTCTCAAATCTGCTGTGGTTATTCTAGATCCCTTTTAGTGCAGCTGACCTCATCAAAGTGAAGACATCAAGAAGGAAGTTGGATGTGGGAATCTGGAGTTAGAAGAGCAGCTCATCCTGCATCCCTTGACTTGCTGATGACTCTCCCACCTGGTCATAATAATGTTAATAATCTTCAATTTCTTCCTCTCCTTCACTTTCCTG